TAATGATTTCATGCATGATAGTTGGTTAGGATGGTAACTTAGAAGGATCTCTCACTGAGTAAGTGGAAATGCTCACACCCTATTTGTTTTCCACACCCAGGTATATGGCGAGCTGGCATTGGAGCGATGGCGAGGGTGGTCACATAGTCATAGAATTATAATATGATTCGAGTTTCTACGTTTCCGCAATTAGTTATGTTTTTATGGAATATTCATGTTTAAAGCAAAGTGTATGTCATCGATATGCAAAGTTCAATGTTAAGCCAAGGTCACATGCAAGCCCTCAAGGCATTGCCATGGAAAGTTTATCTTTTATGTCTAATGTTTTCAAAGTAAGACAAAGTCATGAGTTGTTCGCGAAATGTAAGTTAAGTTTCAAATGCAAGTAAGTTTATTTTAGTAACGCCCTAAGTTTAGGTAAAGATTTCCAAGTATTGTTTCAAAGAAAAATTTACTCTGAATTTTCAATTGATTTCAACGTACGAAAAGTGGGGCGTTACAGTTTGGTATCAGAGAGGGTTTTTACGTTTCTGTAGACCCGTAAAACTTTTCTAAAATGTTTCCTAACGAGGTCGACCCCTCGCCACCGTCGCGCCATGCCAACTCCGAGGTATGTTATTTTGAGTTAAAGTTATTATTATGCGCATAATAGAATAGCATGAGTTGGGGCTTAAGATTCTATCCACGAGAAAAGTCGAACTCTAGAGATGATCAAACATAGTGAGCCCTAGAAGCGGATGATTGGATTTAAATGTTGAGAATCATGTTATATTTGTCGTGTTTCAAGGTGTAACAGTCGAGGTTAGTCGTTTGTTTTAAGTTTCTTTCAATATGTTATGAAGTTCGAAAAATATTGTCATGATCGTATGAGATTTTGCTGTTTTCTTTCTGTCTGTTCAAGAGCCATTTTGGCCCCCAAAATCTCATTTCTGTTTCTGAGCTGTTCATGTGAATTGTAGTAAATTCGGTTATATTTTTGTGGCTTTTTGAATATTGAGAAAACGTTTTGAAATGATTAAGTTATGATTTTTCTAAGATTGTTGGGCAAACAGTTTTTTTGGAAATCCGGCAGCATGTATCTTATGAATGTCAGATCTGTTTTCGATGCCTTAATGTGTTCAAATAGAAATATAGACTTCTTGGAAGTTATAGGGGTATTTATAAGCTTTATGTAGGTTCTTGAATCATGTTTTTATGTGGTCTGTAATTTTAGATATGCCCGTCTTACTGAAGCCCTGATTGTGATGTGATATATTCCAGAAATTTCGTGGCAACTCTCATTTAAATGTTTGTCGAATTATCACCTGGTAGATGACCTTATCTGCTTCTGATGTCTTTATACGAGTTATAGCCGCATCTCTTAGAATTCATATGCAACTAGATATATGCTTATGTGACTTATGTGTTACAAGTTATATCTGTTTTAATATCGTTGCGCATGTCATGTTTTGCAAACTTATGATATGATTTCGAAAATAGCATTTGCATTCTATAAGAATGTTTATGTGATTTATTTGACCAATGTTGAGTTGAGTGATGATAGAGAGCCGACTGATGATGAGAGTCTCTTTGCTCCACCCTCAACCAAAATAGTAACTAGGAATGTCATAAGAGAATAAGTTTGATCAACTCTAGGAATAAGAACTTTTTCCGGGGACGGAAAATTTTTAAGGAAGTTAGAATGTAACGCCCCGAACTCGTGTCATTCATTTTATGCATATTTAGTATTTCTCATGATAAATTAATTAATGTTAATGTTAATGTTATTTTATTTTATTATTGAGCTCGATTTTTATGTATTGATTAAGTGAGTGTCCACACTCGTTAATTATAAATATTGATAATTGGAAAAATTATTTAGATGTCCTCATTTATTTAATTTTCCTAAGTATTAAATAGTCATAATATTAATATAATTTTTATTATATTAATGGGATAGATTAATTTATTAATTAAAACCTTAGCAGTAATTAGCAGAAGTATTAATCTAAGATTTTGAGCACCAAAATCGGCCCTAAGGAGAGAAAAAACGTGAGGTGTGAGAAAAGATAAGAGAGAAAAATCTTGTCTTGATCACCAAGCCAAAAAGAATCCCACACACATGGAAAATAGGAATCCTTTTCCTAATCCAAGTCTTAGGAATCCTTTTCCTAATCCAAGTCTTATAAACCTAGCTGTATAAATATATCTCTTCCCTCATGGGATTTATTTTTCCCTACGCTAATTATTTCACAAGATCCAAAAATCTCATCTTCAAAAAAAAAAAAGGGAACGCACGCTCGCAACAAAAAAAAAAAAAGAAGAGAAAAACTACATCCCTTCACACGTTCAAGCCTACCGCCAAGAGCCCGAGCTTTTTCACGAGTCATTCTTTTCTTCTTTTTCCCGAGCACGGTAAACCCTCTTTTCGATTCTTGGGCTGAATTTAATGTTCATAATCTTAATAAATCATGATAAGATATGTAAAATAACTAGAGAATTATATAAGATTCAATGATTTTCTTTTATATTTAATGAAAGACCAAGTTGGATCTTGGACAATTTGATAATTTTAAAGTATGTTTAATGTCTAAGAAGTTGATAATAAAGCTTGCTTAATGAAAATTATGTGTCATGTTGAATTGAATGATTATTGATGATGATCTATTGAAGTTGTGCCTGAAATTTCTGTTTCGTGGCCTCTGTTGTGAGCCGTTTTTGGCGACCAAGAACTCGTTTCTTGGGAATGTGTTCTTCAGATGATATGTGGAAAATTGTGTATGGTTTCAGTAGGCTTTGGAATTTTGGAAATCGGAGTTCATATGGATTTTATATGATTTTTACAAGTCAGTTATGTGCCCAGTTTTTATGAAGTTAGGACTCAGAATATACCTTTAATGTATGACTGACTTTGATGTGTCAAACATGCTCAAATGTGAAAATGGTCTTCATGAGATATGTAGCCATATGTGTGTAGTTTCTGTAAGCTCTGGAATTTCATTATTTTATGACCTATAGCTCGAGATACATGAAAATTACTGAGTCTCTGTATGTAATATAAGTTGATTTCTGGCAGTTTATATAATCTGAATGTTTCAAGATGAAACTCGATGATAATATCATTATTTGCCAATTTGGTCTTTAGGAAAGTTTTAGATAATTAAGTTGGCTATCTTGTGGTTTTTGAATCTTATGAAAATCATGTCTGTAGCTTCATTTATCTTGCAATTACTGAAGTCCTGTCAGCTGTTTTACTTCAATCGTTGACTGCGTCTATGAATTTGATGGTTGTTATATTATGTGCATTTAAATGACGTTATCTGTTTGAGTTGTCATCATGAAAGTTGTAGAGTCATGAGTTAGGGATAATTTCCAATTAGAATAATCATGATATGACCTATGGACTGAAAGTTACATGCATTCTAAGTTCATCGCGCATGCTGAAAATTGTATAAGCTCATGTTTGGAATTCCAAATTTGATTGTTATTGTTTAAAGACATGTTTATGTGGCATAACTGATCCATGTCATGCTATTTGAAGTTTATATGATCCTTCAATTCCCTATGTGATAAAATTTAAGCAAGTTAAGTTATCAACCAATCGAAAAGACTTAAACATAAACAAACGTTTTCAAAGTATGCAAGCAAGGCGAAGCCGAGCAAGCAAGTTTTCAAAGTTCACGTATATGTATAAGAGTAAGTATGAGTTTAAGTTAAGCCATGATAAGATTCTAAGACATGCCCCAATGAATGTAGTTATCGAGGAGTCGAGCCCTCAGGTTCTTTCAAGTTCAAGCCTTTAAGTCGAGCATTCCAAAAAAAAAGGTGGGGGAAGTTCTACGTTATTTATCCTTTTTGATTATCTATGTTTTGAATGAAGTTAAGTAGCTTGCATAGTACCCATGTTTATACAATGTTCCAACATTCGAGCAAGTCGCTTGTTGCAGTACCAAGGTTCACGGATTATAACTCTAGAGGGTGGCTAGATGCTAGGGTTAGAGTATGTAAGTGCGTGCATGTAACCTTCGTTGGTGCACACTTCGAACGGTTGTCCCCGTCGATAAGACTGTACGGAGCCATGATGAGGGCTGTCTTCCTTCAACCCCACGGGTGGTACTCTCGTCAAGCCTAGTTGGCCGTGCCGCGAGAGGCAATGTTCTCCCACCACCATAAAGTGGTATAAGGAGTTTGACGAGGGGTGGGAGTGTGACGATAGTGTACTCACGTGCGTGCTATGACTTTAGTGTTTAGTTGTCTAATAGGGTTGTAGTAGCAAGAAAGTCTTTCGACTTGTGGGCAACCACTCGCCGGGAGCTCATGATTATGTTGAGTATACCTAATGATTTCATGCATGATAGTTGGTTAGGATGGTAACTTAGAAGGATCTCTCACTGAGTAAGTGGAAATGCTCACACCCTATTTGTTTTCCACACCCAGGTATATGGCGAGCTGGCATTGGAGCGATGGCGAGGGTGGTCACATAGTCATAGAATTATAATATGATTCGAGTTTCTACGTTTCCGCAATTAGTTATGTTTTTATGGAATATTCATGTTTAAAGCAAAGTGTATGTCATCGATATGCAAAGTTCAATGTTAAGCCAAGGTCACATGTAAGCCCTCAAGGCATTGCCATGGAAAGTTTATCTTTTATGTCTAATGTTTTCAAAGTAAGACAAAGTCATGAGTTGTTCGCGAAATGTAAGTTAAGTTTCAAATGCAAGTAAGTTTATTTTAGTAACGCCCTAAGTTTAAGTAAAGATTTCCAAGTATTGTTTCAAAGAAAAATTTACTCTGAATTTTCAATTGATTTCAACGTACGAAAAGTGGGGCGTTACATTAGTACACCCAAGCCTCGCGATCGTCGTGCCAATGCACCGAACCACCGAGTGTCCACAACCTCGAGATCGATTAATCTAGCAAGCTAATGATCCATGAGCTGTCCATCATGCATTAGAAGTAATGAGGATCATAACAAGTACCAAGTCTAAGTGTTGCACTCGTGAGAATGCCGAGCATGGTCTAGCACACGCAGCGTCCAAGGTCGCGCACGTAGTCTTTCGCTAGCCGCGCCCGAGCCCATGAATCGAGCCAAGGCTCACACCTCCAACACTTTTGCTGAACCATGAGACCATGTTCATATGTTAGACATATATTGAGCATTTTAAAGTCTAAGGTTATGCCTAAGTATGATTACTCAAAGTCAATCCATTATTAACATTAGTTTATACTAATTAAGGCTAGCATGGGTACTCCATTACTCTATTCTTGTGTAAGAGGTTGTACACTCCACTACCTAGTGCTAAAACCAGAGATTCTCAGCCCCTTTTCAGTCCCAAAAACCGAGCATGACAGCATAATATCCTTCTTACCTCATCTTAAACTCACCATAGAAGAGTTTTAAGGCTTTAAGTTCAAGAAAGTTCGAAGAGAAGCAAGCATAAAGTCGAGAGCAAGAAGAGGAAGCCGACAGCAGCATATTCACGTTCTCTCACGTTTTTCTTGAAATTGTAGAGGTTGGTGTGCTCAAATATTTTTAGATTATAAAATAGATGAGATAATGAGTTGATTGATATATAATTTAGCCATATATGTTCAGGTTTGAAGTAGTTTCAAGCATGCTTAATGTTTAAGTGCTCCCAGTTTTTCTTCCCTGTTCTATATGTTATGTTTTCGTACGTTTCTGCCTATGCTATGAAAACTCTGGGAAGGTTCGAATTTTATGGCTATTTCATGTGAAAAATAGGAGTTCATAGGATCAAGAATAAAGTCAATTGGCCTAGTATAACTCGAGTTATTGATTTTTAAAGTTAGACATGCAAGTTGAACTTTACATGCGCGAATTCTGTTTCGACTTCAAACATGAATAACTCAAGTTATACTCAGGATAAAATTATGAAATATAATTGACATGTTTATATATGAGATAAGAGCCTGCATATAAAATTTTATGATTTTATCATAAGAGATGAGTGAGTTATAAGTATTAGACCTAATGCATGTCAAATTGAATTTTGATGCTTTAGAACTCCCCCAATACTTGCGGGATTAATGTAAAATTTTAAGGAGAATTTCTTTTATGAGTTGTGAGTAATATCACCAAATTTGAGCTTCAGAAGACAAGATTACGAATTTATAAAATTATTTGAATACATGAGTGTAAAGTGCATTTCATATGTTAAGTTTGAGATGCTAAATTGGATACGCTATTAATGTGTAAATGATTTGAAATTTTTACAGCATGTACATGGTTAAGTGAATTATTTTACTGTGAAGTTTGAGAATTTTCAGAGTTATATTCGGTTTTATAAAAATCGAGAGGTTTTAGTCAATTATTTTATTCTAGTAAATGATTTAAATGAACATGCATGGACTTAAGTGACCATTCATTCATAAACATTCATTTAGCATGTGAGTTGGTCGGAAATAGTCACCGAAGTCCGGCAAGAATGGCCGGTTCGAGGCACTCCAGAAAATACAGAAAAGTGGGTTTTCGAGCCTAAGTGAGAATTTTTCCGAAAACCCTATTTTAGTCCAGTCGAGCCGAGAAAATCCATTCTACTTTTAAGTGTTCACATGCACCTATGCGTTTTATATGCTTTTCATGCTATATCCGCTTTGCCTGCTTAACTGTCTAAGTTTTAGTATCAGTTTTTATAAGTCGAGCAAATTTCTTAGATATATTTGCTTATATTTTGGTAGCTTAAGGAGAGTCGAGCCTCCGACAGCTACCCCAATTTTCAGCACTTGCCAGATCATTTTAGTATACCAAGTGGGGGCCCTACACTGGGTATTACATTGTCTATAATCTTGTACCATTTATGAGGTATGTATGTAGATAACTTTTACCCGAACGATCCAGTTATTCCGTTCGCGGTCCAGTTTATGTTGACTCCCAGTAGAGTCACTCGCCCAGTACAATTTTGACTCTCAGTAGAGTCATTCTGGGTTTCTGGGGAGGCGAACCCCAGAACGTGATCACCTGAGAACCGACCAGCCACCGGTAGTCCGCACCAGTACAGTACAGTTTTATTTATGTATATTCCGAGTTTATGATATTCGATTATACGTGTTGTTTATTCAGTGCTGGTTATTGCGGAGTACAGTGGATGAGTACTCACGCCCCCACTATTATCTTTTTAGGTGATGGAGTGCAGCCCGGAGCGTGAGCCGAGCTTGGTGGTGTGGTGGTGTCCGAGTCAGCTGGACATTTGTTTATGTTTATGTTGTGTTGGCATGTATAAATAATTTCAGACTGTACTGTACTTTATTTTACGCTTCCGTACTACCAACCCAGACTAGTATGTATGCACGCTTTATTTTCTCTTATCTGTATTTTCCCCAGTCGGAACTTATATGTTGATATGGGCACGTGCATAAGTAACAGAAAAAAAGAAGTAAGTCAGTAAATAAGTAGCATCCCTCAAATTAGTAAGTTTAAACATTTTTCGAAAAAAGTATAAGTATATTTCAAAAACAGTCGCGAAAATTTTACCCAGTTTTTCGTAAGTCAAAGTTATAGTAGGGGGGTGTTACACATCCAATTAACCACTACAAAATACATTCAAATAAATTTTCTAAAAATAATTTAACAAAAATCAACTCAAGATAAACATCATATTAACACAAACGGCTATCAAAGAACTTTCAAATTAACTTGAACAAACCATGGGGGCGAATCCAATTCCGCACAATGCGGCAGTCCATTTTCCACGCGCCTCTTTCGCCGCACGCACACTCATCCGCCGTAAAAAAAGTGAAGGTGCCACTACCGAAGGTGAACGAAGGTCCCGCTGGAATTTTTTGCAGTTAAACTATTAAATCTGAAAAATAAAAGTACAGTGAAAAAAAGAGTTTGGGATGGATCCAACTATTAAATTTCATAAATTATCTTAAAGCGACCCTAAAATTCCATTTTCAAATCTTCAGATCTTAAATCCAGCAATTGATAATTTTAAGATCGAAACCTCCACAAACAAAAAAGGAATTTAAAATTTGCTAAACCTAAATCAAAACCCGCACCTTGAGGCGGCGGACGGTGCAAGCGGCGAGAGGAGGTTCGTGGCTCCAACCGCCACCTCATTATCTAGGGTAGGATGATGAAACCTTCCGTCATCCTTTGTTGTCGCCGATTGTCGATCTCCATATCCAAGTCGCCGCCGCCATAATTCGTCACTTGATTGCACGAGGCGAGGTTTGTCGTTCGTGAATCAGAAATTAAAAGAATTCGGTCTGAATTGTTATTTTTGGTGGTCTGTGTATCTTTGTGTGATGCCAAGAAATCGAAAAGGAAGAAGAAAAGGAAATGGTGGAGAGATAAGGGAGAAAAAGAGTGTTTAATTTGTGAAAAATAAAATTGTTTGTGGAATATAAAATCAGAAATTCTATGGTGCCCATTAGGGCACCATAAGCCATGCCACAATATGATGTGGCATATGAGGTGGCTTATATATCAATTCCAGCATGGAATAAAATAAATTGTGAAAGAAATAAATAAAAGATCTTGAACAGAATCTTACGTTCTCTTATAATCAGAGACTTCACGATCCCCGCGCCAATTCCACAGACCATCGACGGCTTGGGCCAAGAAACATCTGGCTTTTGCGGCTTTCGTTTGTGCATCACGATCTACTCTTACTCCGTAGACGGCTGGCGGCAATCTCCACTCAGTCGCTTGCCGGCGATCTATTCTACAAATAGTGACTCTCAGGGAAAGGTATCACTTATAATACGAAATAAATTGATATCCTGTTATCATCATCGATATGCCGATTCATTCAAGATGATATGTGTCTTCTGCTTTACTATATATATCCTGCTATCATCATCAATTACCAAACACTGTGCATAGTGTTGTTATCTTGTTCTCTTAAAACTTCACTTTTTCCAAAAGAAACATTGTCAATCTAGAACAAATATTTATTTATTTTATGTGGTATGAGTGGTTTTGGAACTGTCACGGGAGAAGCTGGCCCAAATCATCACTTTACGGTATGTGTATGTAGTTATTTATTGTTCTTAATTTTACAACCAACGACTATTTTGACGAAACCATGTATAAACTCATGTATATTCATCACTTCATATTAACACATCAAAGGATGGTTATGAATTCTTCAACACATGTTTGCAGTCTCTTAAATATTGTTAAATATTGTTGGCTTCAGTAAGTCCTTTTGGTTTTGGGTTCGGTAAGTTCGGTAAAAACCGAAACAGAACTAGAATTTCGGTTACTGACTACAAATCGGTACGGTTTCGGTTCTACATTTTGATGTTACCGAAGTGTTTAGTTCGATTCGGTAAACCAGCTCTATATTTCATATAATAACTTTTGATTTCTTTATAAAGGATATTAGAAGATTAAAAATAAATTTACTTTAATTTAATCATAGTTCTATATTATTATTATTATTTTTTTCACACTCAGCTTGCCTAATGTCGATGCAAAAGTTTGTGGAGCACTCCATATCTGGAGATGAAAACGATGAGGATTCTAGTCGGTCATTTGATGATAAACTTAACAAAAGTTTAGCTGGTAAGTCATAATTATATATTGATCAATTTAATAACTTAAAATAATTTATATGACTTGATTTTTTATATTTAATCTCAGATGGCTGCGAAGACGATGGTGATTATATTCCACAGGTTTCATTAGCATCAATTCCTCATGAAAATCAGAGTTTTCAAATATTGGATGAAGCTAAAAACTTCTATATTGCTTATTCCAAAGAAGCTGGTTTTAGCATCAGAGAAAGAAATGACCGGAAAAACCACAATCAAGAAGCCATATGGAAAATGTTCGTCTGTTATAAAGAAGGGACGAAGAATATGAGATACCAAGAAAAAATTAAGCATGCTATTCAACGAACTGGAGAACGGGAAAGAGGAGATGTCAGATGCAAGTGTTTGGCTAGGATGACTGTAAGTTGGAAAAAAGATGAACATTTTGGAGAGTTTTGAAATTTATTGAGAAACACAATCATCCTCTTACCAGTCCGAGCAAGGTGCACGCTTTAGGAGTCCATAGGGATGTCTCACCTGCAATAAAGGTCCCTTGCTGTCGAGTTTAGAAATGCCAATTTGAGAACATCTGATCTTCGGAGGGTACTAGAAAGTGATGCTGGGGGTCCTGATAAAATAGGTTGTCTAGAAAAAGACTTGTACAACAATGCTTCAAAGTTACAAAATGTGGTCACTGGACATGATGCTGAAACGTTAATTGGCCACTTTGAGACGGAGAAGACAACATGTGAGTCTTTCTATTTTGCTTATGAAACCCTTGAGTCTGGTAATACATTTGATCGTTGTTACTGGTGTGATGCACATGCTAGACATTCTTATGGTTGTTTTCCAGAGGTGGTGGTATTTGACTCGACATTTGGCAACAACAAATATGGAATGTTTTTTTTCCCCTTTGTTGGAGTGAATAATCATAACCAGACTATAGTTTTTGGCTGTGGTCTTTTGAGTAACCAACGAACCGAATCATTTTCTTGGTTATTTTGTCAGTTTCTCAATTCGATGCCTGAAAAACGTCAACCGGGGATGTTTAGAACTGATCAAGATGCGGCTATTGCGGCAGCAGTTCATGAGGTATTTCCAAACACTGTGCATAGACTTTGCTCGTGGCACATACTTTCCAAGTTTCCGGAGAAAATAAATATTGCCATGCATGAAAATGACAAAACCAAATTGGTGCATGCTATCATGGACTCGGATGATCCGGAGGAGTTTGAGTCTCGTTGGTTAGAGTTGATGAGTACTACATCTTTGAGTCAAAATAAATGGGTGAATGATATGCACACTATTCGGGCAATGTGGATCCCTGCATATTTGAAAAATATTTTCTCAGCAGGAATGTCATCTTCACAACGTGAGTCGTGACTGCTCACTCAATGATGTGTTTACGCGGTTCAGGAATGCAGTTTCAAGGCAAAGGCATAAAACGTTATTACTAGACCATGCCGACAAAAATGAGAAACTGACATTGAATTCTGCACAACCAATGGAGCGTCAGTTGTCGATAAGGTATACGAGAGTTTCAAGAACAATTGAAGGTTTTACCAGAGTACATTAGTAAACTCATTGAAAAAACTGATGGAGTTTGTGTTCATGAAGTGTTCCCATTTAGTGAATCGAAGTTGAAGGATAAAACTTACCGGGTGACACAAACTGTTTCCACGAACTTTCTTTCATGTAGTTGCCAGAAATTCAATGATGTGGGGATTCCATGTAGGCACATGCTTTATATGATGCAGGTAATCATTTTATTAATTTATGGTAATGTAATGATTTTCAAACAGAATTCTATATAAATCTCATTTTATTTTATGTTGTTTTTTATACAGGTTATGCAAATCAAGTTGTTGCCAGAAGAATATATTTTGTCTCGTTGGACACAAGAGGTAGGATCACCAATTTCTTTTGAAACAGTCGCTTCTCCAATCACCCAAGCGAGAGGATATTTAAAGCGCAGCCGAGGTTTATCTGAGAAGTGGAAATGGTTGATCGAAAAGGCGGCTTTAACCGAAAAAACTACTATAATGTTACACAAATTGTTTGAAGAAGCGGAATCAAAAATACAAGAGAATGAAGTTGTGACCCCCAATAATACGCAAGAGTCATGCTCGGGAAAAGAGCACAAAGGTGAGGGTTTTGTAAGTGATCCAATTACTAATCGTGTAGCTTGTGGCCGCAAACGACTATTAAGTATGCGAGATAAGGCAATTAAAAGTGGAGGCAAGCATTGTCGCAATTGTGGCAAAGTTTGTCATAACGCACGTACATGTCCTGAAATTAAAGGCAAAGACAGGTAACTTAAATGTTCTCATCGTGTGACTGATTGCTCAAGCATCATTTAGTTGTGTAACTTTTTTTTTTCTAGTTTTTATATTCCTTTTGCTTATTTTCCAATATTTCAGTTTTTTTTCTCTTCTCTCTGTTGATTTTGTTCTGGATAATTATTTATAATAATAAATGATGAATGTTGATATTGAGAAGAAACAACTAAAAATAATTCTTATCGTATAGCATTAATGCAAAATGCTGGAAATTAAAAAAATTATGAAATTAGTTTTATAAGGAGAGAAGTGTATCTGAGGAGCTTGATTTATTCAGCAAACATTCATCGTTTTTAACTTTTATTTATTATTTTTATTATTTTTATTCTCTTATCACATATTATAAATCTTGTAGAACTGCTGATGAAGTTGAACCATATCATCCGTCACCTTTATCGAATAATATCATAGTCGAGGACAGTCAAGAAATGGCGGGTCGGGATATGGTCGACACTGTGGATGAGGGATATGATTACACGAGCATTTGGCCTTAACGGAGTTTTTTTCCAGATATTGTTTGATGTTTTCTTTTATTTTTTATTTTTATTTTTTTTTGTTGAAAGTGGTTTTCTTATGTTAGCTTTGACTTATAATTTTGAAAGTGGCCTTAATGGAGCTTTGACTTGTTGTTTGGATAACTTTTTTTGCGTGAAAGTTAACAAGAGAAGTACTTTCTGGTATTTTGTTCATTGTTTTATTAGTGTTCTATACATTTTGTTCATTGTTTTGATCCTAGATACCCAGATGCAGAAAATGGTATCTTAGCTTAATACAGCTAATTGAGGAGTTCATTGTTTTGTTCATTCTGGCTCTATTGGTATTTTGTACCTCAAATAGAATTGTTGATATGTAAAATATATTGAGTATATGTTTGCAATTTAAATTTGTGTACACTTTTATCAGTCACTAGAATGTATCTGTCATTTGATCTTATGACAGTAAGTTCCTCCAGAAAGAAGCCATAAATTAATTCCTTACACGAAAGAACAAAAGAAGTAATCTAATGTTTTTGAACTAATTCCATGTTGAGCCATAAAGAAAAAATATGACAAATACTGTGTATAAATATTTATCTAAAACAAACAATGAAGTTTCGAGCCATCAGAAATCGACAGAGGTAACAACCACATCTCAACTTCATCCCATTGCACGAAAAAATACCGTTGCAATTCATATAACTAATCCTCTACGAATATAAGAAAGTGTACAAACGAAACACCCACATCTCAACTTCATCCCATTGCACAAAAAAATACCGTTGCAATTCATATAGCTAATCCTGTACGAACACAAGAAAGTTTACAAACTTCATCCCATACAATTGGCAGGTGATGTTACTGTTGTAGACTAGGCCTGGGTCGAGGGAGGATATGGAGTTAATGTGCTCTGCTCCATGATTGAATGGTGTGGACTTTTTGCCCGTGGATACGTCTATCATAAGGTGGCCTTTCCCGTCGGTTGTGTAGGCTGTGGTCGAGTGACGATCAGATGGCCGCAGGACTCCAAGCTACATGGGGTCACGACATCGATGTCCCTGTTTGTATGTTGAAATCAGTCGTGCGTGTGTCGATGCTCGTGAGGATCACTGACCCAGACTACGCGGCTAGAATGTTCACACATGTCACCAACGGACACATCACTGTCGTCGTCCACCCCTCCCACAACCTCCGCTGCCCCATTGAAGCCCTCCCTCGACCAGCTCCTCCTCCTTGACCTCCGTGACACCCACCTCAATGACACCCTCTCCCTCCTGGCCAGCTGCACCTCAAGCTCGTCTACCTCTCCGGCAACGCATTCTCCGGCCAGATCCCAACGGAAATCTCCCCTCTCCACCGCCTCATCAGCCTCGACCTCCAGACCAACGAATTGAGAAGCTTCGCCGGCAACGAAGCCCTATGCAGCGAAAATCCCCCTGCCCTCCAAGCTCCCTTCCCCCGTCCCAGATCGCAGCCGCGGTCACCAATTTGGCGGAAAAGCACCGCAAAAAGCTCGATAGCGGCCCGATTTTGACCATACTGGTGGCGTCGGCGAGTTAGGTCGCGAGGTGGAGGATTGAGGTAGTGAGATTTGCAGGTGAATTTGGGGCATCGGCATATGAAATCATTTTAGGGAAAATAGGTTTATTAATTAATTTTGGTATGGAAAATCTTTAAAAAAGCCACTTAATTTATTCCATGCTGGAATTGATATATAAGCCACCTCATATGCCACATCATATTGTGGCATGGCTTATGGTGGCCTAATGGGCACCATAGAATTTCTGAAATAAAATCTTTAATTTATTTGGTATCAATGAATTTCGTCTTAGTGGAACTGTTGGTATCAATAAGGCATTACAAACTTATTCTCATCATTATGTCTGCCAAAGAAATAAGGCTCATCCACGGGGTAATTTTCTCACGAAAATTTGAGATGGTGAGAATTGGTTTCCACTTATTCGGTCCATTAAGATTTCATTTGATATACCAAAATTTGATTTCATATACAAAAAAAAAAAAATTGATCGTCCATTTAACATTTGATTTGATATACCAAATTTAAATATGTTTTCTTTAAATACCCTCGATCTGGGTATAACCTTTCGCAACACGCCTAGCTTTGAAGGTTTGCACCTTTCCATCCGATCCTCTCTTTCTCTTATAGATCCACTTACATCCAATGGGTCGTACCCCATCGGATGGTTCTACAAGATCCCAGACCTGATTAGAGTTCATTGACCCCATTTCAGCTTTCATTGCAACATTCCATGAATCTGCATCTTTATCTTGGAGTGCCTCATCGTAAGTTCTTGGGTCCGATTTCAGGTCTCCTGGAACTGAGTTCGATGACTTTCTAATACCTATCTATGGGTCGGGTAAATGAGAAACCCTCCCACGTGACGAGGAACTGTCTGCACTGGTACACTCTCAGTGTGCCGTGTTGCAGTATTATGTGATGTATCTACTTGCGCACTCGGTGGGGAACTATCGACTTCACTCCTTAACTCCTCTAAGACTAGTCTACTCGTGGGCTTATGATTCATAATACAGTCTTCTTCCAAGAATCTAGCGTTCGTCGAAACGATCACCTTCTGATCCCCGGGACTATAAAATAATCCATCTTTCGTTTCCTTGGGATAGCCAATGAAAACTCGTGCTTCCGAACGTTTCTCCAAATTGCCAGGTTCTTGCACTAAAACGTGTGAAGGACTACCCACACTCGAATATGTGAAAACCTGGGCTTGCGCCCTCTCCACAATTTGTAAGGAGTAGTCTCAACTGACTTCGAAGGAACCAAGTTCAGAATGTAAGATGCTATTTCCAGCGCCATTCCACAAAATGAATCTGGTAACCTCTAATAACTCATCATAGACCTAGCCATCTCCATAAGAGTCCTATTTCTTCACTCTACAACCCCGTTCTGTTGGGGCGTGCCGGGTGCAGTTAATTGGGATTGAATCCCAGCTTCCGAAGTATGTCCCGAACTCCCCAAAAAGGTATTCGCCACCTCGATCAGAACGAAGTGACTTGATACTTTTACCATGAAGCTTCTCCACATCTAACCGATACTCCTTGAATTTCCTAAAGCATTTGGACTTACGGTGCAACAGGTAAACGTACCCAAATCTTGAGTAATCGTCTATAAAAAACAAATAATACTCGAAACCTCCTCTAGCTTGGATCGACATAGGACCACACAAATCAGAATGAACCAATCCTAGCACTTTTTGGCTCCTATACCCTTTGCCGTAAACGGCCTCTTGGCCATCTTACCTTTTAGGCACGATTCGCAAGTTGGATAGTGCTCTTCCAATGGACCGAGATGTCCACTGGCCACTAACTTTTGAATCCTCCTAAGGTTGATGTGCTCTGATACCACTTGTTGGGATCTGTGAGGATCTCGTTATGCAAAAATCACGAATTCAATAGCAAACGTAAACCTATGCGCAGCAGATCTAAAGGTTTAACGTAGAGAACTTACAGCTTAAAATTTATGGCGATCTGGATGATCTTCCGGATGGCCGTACACAATATACGAATAGGTCGGGATCACAAACGGATCGGTCGGGACGAGCTCGTGTCGCGAGTCTGATCTCCGATGGCTGTGTCGCGGGTGGTGGCGCGTCGCGGCTCCGGGAGGTGCGTCACTACGGCTGGTCGCAGGCTCCGGCTAGGTCGCGGATCGCCTGTCGGGTCGGTTGACGGGTCGCGTCCTTCGGGTCGTGATTCGTCAACTGCAATAGATGATCACCGGGTCTCGATAACCTATAGATCTTCCACTGTATTACTCAAATACCTCTTCAACTTGTACCAGTGGAGCAACAAGAAGAAGATAAAGCTCGAATGAGAACTGAGAGAGAGAGAGAGAGAGAGAGAGAGAGAGAGAGGCGGGCGTGTCTGTTGATTATGACAAATTCATTCTCTTCTCATCAGTTTAATGATGTATATATAGAGCTACAGTAGTGTAAATAATCAGTTAAGACAAACTATATAGTTGACACTACAACCGTTCGGATGGGGTGTTCATGTCCATCTAGGTTGTGAATAACTATTCTTGTTTGCAAGTAATTGATAGAATGATCTTCAGTTCGCCAGATTACGACCAACTCTATCTAAGTGCAGAACAACAGAACGTAGAACTTTTTCAATCTAACATGATTCTCATTCATAAAGGGCAAATGTGTAATAACATGCAAAGCCAAGCTTTCAATATATAACACTAACACGGGCGTGAATCTTATGCCCCTCTCGAAAATGCGAATGGACACACTATTCTCTTCGGACAACCGTTCATGGCGACCACGAACACGATGATCGATGTCAAGAGTGGGAAGCTGAACATAACAGTGTTGGGCGAATCCATCGCCATTTCCGTTCGAGAGACCCAGCCTGAGCCGCAGGCAAATTTGGTGGAAGAATGCATGTCCATTCGTGCGATAGAGCAGATTGTTGACGAAGCGTGTATGATAGAATACGCGAAGAGGTCATTGCAGTACTGAGCTTGTGTTGAGAAAGGATGCCACACCAACCACCAAACTACCCCTCCCCAGCCGAGTTCGAAGGAGCTGCCCCGTTCCCAATGGGACGAAAGATTTGCTTTGTCCGGCGCCTGCCACTGTTCATGGCCTGACTATCTCCACCCTCCTCCCGCACCACCGGATTCACAGTGACTCGTCTAGTCGTTGTGCCCTGTACGTCTGTATTTTTCCCTTCTCTTTATTTTTTTGACTGGTATCTTTGCTTTAGTGTTGGTTGATTATGTAGATAAACATTCCTAAAACTGATGATCGACAATGGGGACATTGTTCGATTTTAAGTGTGGGGGAGTTTTACGTGGTTACATGACTATGTGGTTGACCAGGTCTAGTTTTTCTATTTAGGATTGGTTTTATTTCTTTTCTGTTGCTTGGTGGACCGGTCTAGTCTTTAGGATTATTTGTTGTGTCTTTCTGAGTTTTGACTTTGGTGAATTGTAGGATTGGTTAATAATGGTTGATTGAGTTGAGGAGTTGTGATGTGAGCATAAGTGTTACATCTCGATGAAATGCTTGGTTGTTTTGTTTGACAGTTATTTTACCTTGTGAAGTTTGAGCCACATGCGTTTCTTGTGAGAAATTGGTTGGAATCTTTGTCAATTAGAATTTGCATTGAGCCTACTTTGAAATGAATGTTGGATTTGTGTAATGTAAACATGATTGAGGCATTCTTTGTATTTTCTTTCTTTTTTTCTTTTTGCGAAACTATCATTCACTAGTCACCCCTTTCGAGCCTTATGGATTCTTTTTATTGATAACCCCGTGATGATGATATTGTGGAGTTGCGAGTGGAGAATTGGAGGTGATTTGTGTTGGTGTTGTGTATATATATGTTAAAATAAAAAAAATAAAAGCAAAAGCAAAAGCCGAATGGATTAGATAAAATATCCAAAGGTTTCAGATTTGTGTTGGTTTTGTATATATATGCGATTCTTGTTGATTATTAAAAAAACAAACGAGAAAGAGAGAAAGAGATGAATAAGATGAATAATGTGGGTAGCGTGTTGGCTTTTGATGATGTGGGAGGAAACGGTTGGTGTTGACAACCGGATGAATTCATGGTCACGGTTAGGTGATTGAATCGCGTTGATATTATTGAGCCACTTAGCCTATATTTATCCTACCCGATCCAAATAGCCAATGTTACATCCCTAGAAGTCCTCTTGATTCACTATTGCATGAATTTGAATGTTTTAGAGTAAAGGTTAGTCGATATACAAATTTATTATTGATTCGATTGACGACCAACTTAAGTCTGTGTTCGATTGAACCTATCTTATATTTGTGGAAGAAACTGGGTGAGGCACATATGATATTTTTGTACTCGAGAGTCTGTGTTCTTCGAAATAGCCAAGTTAACAGTTGAGGTGTGCTCTTGTAATCCTTGGAATTCTTCTCGACTTGGTTGATTAATTAGAGACTAATTTTGCTTGAAGCCGACGTCTTTGCTCGTTTGATTGATCTCTTTTCTTTTCTTTTCGTGGCTTTTTGTCCGGGACGAACTAAGGTTTAAGTGCGGGGGAGTTGTTTGTCCCATTTTTGTTGCATTTTTTGTTGTCTTTTTGCCTTTCTTTCTTCCTCATATTAGGTCTTTTAGTTGTTTTTTAGTTCGTTTTGTGTTTTATTGCGTGTTTTCCCTTATTTGAGTCTTTTCTGTGTTTTTCAGTTGTTTTTCGATTTTCTGCGTTTTTCTCGTCTTTTGTGGTGTGCTGGTCAGATGTCTCGTCGATTATAAATTGAAGGAGAAAAAATATTTTGGGCGAGCTTAATTTTTATAGGAGTTCGTTGGCGGCAAGCAAGAAAAAACAAAATCGAATTCCGAGTCAAATAAGCCCGAACGAACCCGAGTCACGAAGTCGTGCACGGAAGCTAACAGTCAAGCCAACACCACGCGCGTGTGATGAAGATCGCGTGTCTCGATTGCCAATAAGTTGCGCGCGCATCTTGAATCAACGATAGTGCCTCGGAGGTTCACGTGCGCGCCCCTTCGAAACGAATTAAAATTGCAAAAGAAATCGTAAAGACTTCTAAGGCAAAGTGTTGAACCAAAGTTCTATTTTTTATTATCAAATTCAATAATGAAAAATAACAAGAGCATGCGCCTATTTATAGGCTCCTAACAAATATAATCCTAATCAACCTAGATCACCTAATAAAACAATAAAATATTTAATGTCCTACACAATCTAGAAATCATGAAATAACTAGGAAACTATCTAAAAGAATTCTAGAAGATCTTGTCTTGCGCGCCAAGCAGAGAAGCCCTAGCCGTCTTGCCACGCGTCGCCCTTTGCCTCGAGGACTAAGGCATCGCTGGTCCGCAGCGCGCGTGTGTCGTCATCACGCGTATCCCCCGCGTCCTCACCTCTCGCGGTTATTTCGTGCACGTCATCCCCCAACGGTTTTGCACCCTGTTCGCGCACGTCGTACCCGGGTGATGAAGGATCGTGTGTTACATCTAGCTCGATTCGCTCGAAACCCGCGCTGACGCCTTGGTCCCTTTGCGATAGGTTGCTAATACGCGCGCCGACGCCTTCGTACTTCGCGATAGGTGTGACGAATCTCGGATATTGGTCCTATTCCAATCACTATGATGAAACTCGGATGTTGGTCCTATTTCTATCACGAACTCTAGGTGGGTATTTATAAATACCAAATAAATCTAATCCTAGTCTAAGAAGATCTCCTAACTCATGCAAGTAAATAAATCCTAATGCAACTAAACATCTTGAGAATAAAGACTTTCCTAACTAATAAAATATTAATTGGCACATGCCTTTTTATTTAAGTCCTAACCATACTAGAAATCCTAAATAAGCTATGAGAATCTTGTCCCAAATCCCTTTAATTGCCCGGCAAGTCGTCGTGCAAAAACCCTAGCCGCCCGTGGTCGCGCGCCGCCTCGCTAGCCCTATTCCTCCTTGCGAGCGGTAATGCGCGCGCAAGCTTCCCACGCGTCGCCATCCATGTGCGCTGCGCGCCCTCGCCCCTCTGCCCGCGCGTGCTCGCCCATCACGCGAGTGCCCCGCACTTCCGCTCGCTTGGCCTCGCCCTCACGTTCGCTCATCGCACTGGGTGCGTCCCAGCCACGTGCGCGTGTGTCGCTCACGATCACTCCATCGCCCTCGTCGTCCCATTCGACCAACGCCCTGCGTGTGACTCCCGTGATCGCGTCCTGCTTGCACACGCTCGTCGAGCCCATCGCAACATCCCACTCCACTCGTGCGTTCTCTCCATCGCGGCCGCCCCAAGTGCACGCTGTCCACCCTACATCCACCCTTCGTGCACCTTCTGCCTTATCCCGCATACGTCGTGCATGACGCTCTCTCCCGCACGCCTTGCACTAGTCGCCCACCATCCCGGGCACTACCTTCTCACTCTCATCGTCGGCCCAAGCCTCATGTTCACACCCACTTTCCGTCGCGCACCTCTTCTTCACCCGGCCTAGGCTTGCTCGTCTCGCGGCTCAGTTGCCACGTCCCGTCGATACGCGCGCCTTAGTGCGTGCGCACACCCTTCTAGCACGTCCTTGATCCCTTTCTCGCCTAACCTCTCGCCATCTCTCGAGGCCGTCGTGGTACTCGTCCTCGGGCTCGTAAGGGTCGATGACCACATCTTCATCATTCCCGCCCTCTTCGAGAATTTCCTTGTCCTCAAGGATAGTGAAATTGATCTCGTCAACTTCTTTGGGCTCTTCTCCTGGATCCTCGGTTTGCAAATTGACTCGCTTTTGGGCTCATCCAAATGTCAAAGTGCCCCTCTTGTAGTTCGTCGAGACAGGTCCCAATGTCTCGAGCCATTGAATTCCAAGTACGATGTCCAGTCCTGTCAAAGGTAAGGCATAAAGATCAACCTTTAAGTCATAGCCTTGTGCAAATATAGGAACTCCTTTGTATAGCTCGGAACTCTTATGTTCTTCTCCGTTCGCAACCTTGACCCCAAACTGCTTTATGTTCGTCACAGGCGTCTTCAACCCTTTGGACAGCTCTTTGTCTATGAAATTTAGTGTTGAGCCGCTGTACACTAGCACTTTAAGTTCTTCGCCTTGTACGATTGTCGTTACCCGTATCATCTTTGGACCTCTCTCTGCATCTCTCTTCTTGCTTTTTATCACATGTAGCAAGGTCTCCTTCGCTCGATGTGCTCGTACTCCTCCTGGTTCGGCTCATCTTCATCAAATTCAAGCAAGAACACTTGCTTTCCCGCACATCTATGTATCGGCGTGAACTTCTCATTGCAAGTAAAGCATAAGCCTTTCTCACGCCTTCGTTGGATCTCCTCGGTCGTAAGCCGTCGCATGTGGCTCGTGGTTCGCGCGCCATCGTCCGTCGGCTTGGTCTTGACCCGTGGGGGCGTTTGTCGGCTGTCGCGGTTGTGCACCGTGGTTCCGTGCGACCTTCGCCCTTGTTGGCCTTACGTACCGCGACCAAATGGTCCTCGCGTAGGCGCGCCGACTCCATCGCTGCTCGTGTTGTCCGCGGCCTATCCAACCTCACCTCGGCCGCAAGCTCAGCCTTAAGTCCTCCAATAAACGAGCCTATCAGTGCGCTCTCGGCCCAATCGCGCACCCGACTTGCAATGCGCTCAAACTTCTTTTGGTAGTCTCGGAGGCTACCATGTTGACGAATTCGAGAGAGTGCCTCGTCATAGTCATAGTAGTCACTCGTGCCAAAACTCGTGACCAACTCTCTTTCAAAATCTCTCCATCGACTGTGCTCGCCTTTGTTTTTGTACACATGTGACACCATTGCCACCAAGTGTTTGCTTCACCATCGAGATGATAAGCGGTGATCTTAACTCTCTCGGACTTGTGCACGTCGTTGATATCGAAAAATTGCATGGCCCGACTTAACCATGCGTCTGGGTCGGTCCCCGTAAACGTAGGCATCGTGAGCTTCGGTCGTGCATAGCCTCGGTCGTCGTGGTGGTGCGTCGCGCGTGATGCGCGTGTCCTCCGTGATTGTCCGTCATCGTCATCATGGTCGATCTCGGGGCTGCTCGATACCGCGGTCGATCGCGAGGTGTGCCTCCTTCGCGGTCGGCGTGTCATGCGCGTGAGTTGCTCGGCGAGATCATGCACCATGAGCTCGAGTTTGGCGATATTCTCATTGACAAGGTGTTGGCCATTGCTGATGGATTTCAAACTCTCCTCTAAGGCCTCAATCCTCTCCTTATGTGTCATCATCACTCGACTCTCTCTCTTTTTTTTTTATACTCACGAAAAAAAAAAGGAAAATAGAATGGGGAAGAAAAAAGTTCAACCCAACACACGATCAATCACTCTCAATGAAAGTACCAATGATGAAGGATCTTGTGTTACGTCTAGCTCGATTCGCTCGAAACCCGCCCCGACGCCTTGGTCCCTTTGCGATAGGTTGCTAATACGCGCGCAGACGCTTTCGTACTTCGCGATAGGTGTGACGAAACTCGGATGTTGGTCTTATTCCAATCACTGTGATGAAACTCGGATGTTGGTCCTATTTCTATCACGAACTATATGTAAACTCACGAGAGAAAACACGCGAGAACTTTGAACAAAACGTTCGACTTTTCTATTCACTCATCAACCATATCTTCGAATGGTACATAGGTTGGTATTTATAGGTACCAAATAGATCTAATCCTAGTCTAAGAAGATCTCCTAACTCATGCAAGTAAATAAATCATAATGCAACTAAACATCTTGAGAATAAAGACTTTCCTAACTAATAAAATATAAATAGGCACATGCCTTTTTATTCGAGTCCTAACCATACTAGAAATCCTAAGTAAGCTATGAGAATCTCGTCCCAAATCCCTTTGCTTTCCCGCCAAGTCGTCGCGCGAAAACCCTAGCCGCCCGTGGTCGCGCGCCGCCTCGCTAGCCCTATTCCTCCTTGCGCGCGGTAATGCGCGCCCGCGCCTCCCACGCGTCGCCATCCATGCGCGCTGCGCGCCCTCGCCCCTCTGCCCGCTCGTGATCGCCCATCGCGCGAGTGCCCCGCACTTCCGCTTGCTTGGCCTCGCCCTCACGCTCGCTCATCACATCGGGTGCGTCCCAGCCACGTGCGCGTGTGTCGCGCACGATTACTTCATCGCCCTCGTCGTCCCATTCGACAAACGCCCAGCGTGACTCCCGTCATCGCGTCTTGCTCGCACCCGCTCGTCGATCCCATCGCAACAATCCACTCCACTCGTGAGTTCGCTCCATCGCGGCCGTCCCAAGTGCACGCTGTCCACCCTACATCCACCCCCCGTGCACCTACTGCCTTAGCTCGCATATGCCGTGCACGACTCTCTCTCGCGCACGCCTTGCACCAGTCGCCCACCTTCCCCGGCAATACCATCTCACTCTCGTCGTTGGCCCAAGCCTCATGTTCACGCGCACTTCCCGTCGGTACGCGCGCCTTAGTGCGTGCGCACACCCTTCTAGCACGTCCTTGATCCCTTTCTCGCCTAACCTCACGCCATCTCTCGAGGTCGTCGTGGTACTCGTCACCGGGCTCGTAAGGTTTGATGACCACATCTTCATCACCGGGCACTGGCGCGTCCCGTTCAAGTGTCTGCGTCTCAGCTGCGCACCGTGCTAACCTCATTCTTGAGTCGTCGCGCCACATCCTCTGTGGCACCCATTTATTCCGGATTATTTTGAAAGTTATTATTTATTTTTTTTATTTATTTTTATATGTCCGAATAAATTTATTTATTTTATCTGTGCTCGTAATGGCCTTAATTGTTTGTTCTTATAGATGAATAAATAATGTGTTTATTTAATTGCCTAAATATGTATCTGTATTATTATTATTATTATTATTATTATTATTATTATTATTATTATTATTATTATTATTATTATTAAATAAGTATTATGTGTATTATGTATTAGCCGGATTTAATTTTCGCCACGTCAAACCGAGCCTCGAATAATTTTCGAGTCGAGCCAGAGAGAACTGGCCGATTTCGATTATTTTTCCGTAGCCATTTTGGGATCTTTTTCTCTAGCCCATTTGTTCCGAACTAATTGGATATTATTATTTAGCATTTATTTTATTTTTCCAAATTAATTATTCGGGCTCAATAAATTTATTTCGATTATATGCTCGTAATTGCTAAATTGTATTAATTTTAATGTCGAGCCGAATAGTATTATTTATTTTATTTTCGGTCGAACCGAAAATTCTAAATAACCGGGACTTCGAACCGATCGAGCATCTTGGTTGAAGTAGCCAAAAACCCGCACCCGCGTGAGAAACTGGAACCACCGAACCCCTTTTCTTCTCTCGTACATGCATGCGGTTTGTTTGAATTTTTGAAATTTAATTCATGTCTTATCCTCCAAAAACCGTGGCCATCCTCTATATTACATGCATGAGATTTAATTTTTGAATTTTGAATTCAAATAATCCCTATCCCTTAATTCTAGCCATTATCCTCTCACATTCAAGGCATGAGATTTGTAACCTCCATGAGATTAAATATGTAACCTCCCCTCACCCTTCTTTTTCCTCTTCAGGTCATTCTCCATCACTCTCTCGCTATCTCTCCCTCCCCTCATTTTCTTTGTTCGCCGGAAAAGCTCCCAGCCCACCGTCATCTCCGCCCTCCTCCTCCGCAGCACCACGCGACCACCAAAAAGGACGCCACCCCGCACTCCTCCACCCGCTCGCAGCAGCCGCAAGCACGAGCCACCTTCAGTCATCACTTTTGTCGAGCGAGCCGCCGTTAATTTCGAGCGAGTCAAGCGGACGACCTTCCCCGCCCGTAGGATTTGTCGTCTCCGAACTCCGTTCTACCAACACCGAATCTCAACTTTTTCCCTTTGGTGTTTGGTGTTTGGACGACCTTCTGTTGTGCTGCGATTTGAGCCATCCTAGACTGAATATTTGAAGTTGTGACCTTCATGAGATATGTAGTATGTTCAGTTTGCTATATCTTGGCCTTGTAATTTCTCAATTCTGAGTTATATCGATAAAGTTATGATTTTTACAAGTTTTGTGTGCGTCCAGTTTTTCCTGTTACCCGGCAGCATAAATATGTTTAATGTGTGACCTATGTTTCATGTCATAATATGCTCGTATGAACTTACACTCTTCATGAAAGTTGTAGATCTGTTTCTTACCTTTCAAATGAAATAAATATCATGTGGATATGTGCTCTGTAGCTCGAATTGTGTTCACGTGAAGTTAGATATGCATGAGTTAGGATTTATTACTTTGGCAGAAATCTGACAATGTATGTTAACCGATTTTTTACTATCCAAATGATCTCTTATGATTTTGTGTTCTAAATAAAAGTTGTAGAGGCATGCTTAAGGGCTAATTTGATATTTTAACCATATCATTTGAAGGTCTACAGCTCGAGTTAAATGATAAAGACTGAGGTGTTGTCCATATCACATGTTAATTTTTGACAGTTTTACTGAATCGCATATTTTGTGTTTAAACTCGTTGAATATTTGATTATTTGCCAATGTGATCTTCATAAAAGTTGTAGAAATTTGAGTTTTCTATCTTGTGGTTTTTGAAATTCATCAAAAGCATGCCTATAGCTCCAGTTAGATGGTAAATACTGAAGTCTAGTCAAGTATATTTTTTCCAGTTTTGGACTGTGACTCAAATTTTAATGTTTGTTGATTTATCACCTGTTAAATGACCTTATTTGCTTTCAGTGTCTTCATAAAGTTGTAGTTTCATGTATTAGGATTCCAATGCAACTTGATTCATGTTCATATGAGTTATATGCTGAAAGTTATGTCGAATTTAAAAACGCTACCGGGTCAAGTTTTCAAAACTTATGTGACATTTTCGAAAATGTGTTTTCCCTGGCTTCTACATCGCCTTATCCCTTATTGAGTAATACAACTAGTACCAAACCTTAGGCTGCTTGTTTGTACTAATCCTTACTCAGTTAAATAAGGGGGACCAACCCTGTAACTAAATATTTATTGTTATGGATCTTTATGCGAAATATACTGTGCGGTAATGGTGAGTAGGATGGTTGTACTCACCCCCATTTACTTTTCTGTCCTCTTGTTCCTCTTTCTATCCTTTTAGGTTGAGCATGGTTGGCGGCGGCAGCGAGAGACGATCGAGTGGTGGTCGTTGGATTGTGTGTTACTTGCTTCCGCTTTTCTTTTTATTGTTCTCGATAGACCATCTGTTTATCTTTGAATAATTATGCTTCCGCCTTACTTATTTTGAATATGTTGGATGAATTGTTTTGGACCATGTTGAACCATTTGGTATGTTTCGTGACTTGAGTTGTTTGGGTTTGAATTTTTATATTTGTTAGTTTTATTCATGTGTAGGTCATTCTTATCTGTTTAAAGTGTTTATTCGTTTTTAGTAGTTTAAGTAGCGCCCGTTGATTATTAAAGTTTTAAATTGGGATTTTTCGAAAAATAAACTCTGATTTTCATAAATTATTTCGATAAATTCTTTAAAATAAAACGGGGCGTTACATCCTCATCATTCCCATCCCCTTCAAGTGCTTCTTTGTCCTCAAGGACGAAAGTTGGAAATTGCTTGCGTATTTCATCTAAGTCCTCCCAAGTGGCTTCTTCCATTGGCAACTCTTCCCACTCAACAAATACTTCCCAGTGATAGCGGTCGGCCTTCTTAACTTGGCGGTACTGGATCGTGCGGCTCGACCGCACAATGATTTGCCCATCCGACGCGGTCACGGGTAATTGGTCGCACCACTTATGCGCCTCTCCCAAACTTCTCTTGATCTGCGAGACATATATGACTGGGTGTATGTGCGAGCCTTCCGGTAGCTCAAGTTGATAGGCCACTTGGCCTATGCGCTTCAAAATTTGTTAAGGCCAGTAATAGCGAACCCCATGCTTAGTTGCGGCCTTCTGTGCGGCCGTGCCTTGCCGGAATGGCCTCAACTTCAAGTACACATAGTCGCCCGGCTCGAAGTTTTCCTCGCGTCATTTGCCATCATGAAAGGCCTTCATTCGGTTGATCAAGCCTTCGAGGTTCTTCTTCAACTCTCGCAACGTCAAGTCGCGTTACACTAGTTCTCATTGACCGCGCTTCCCTCCGAGTAACTTACTAGCGTGGGCGGCTTTCGGCCGTATACTAGTTCGAACGGCGTGCCCTTAGTCGAGCTATGATAAGTGGTGTTATATCAATACTCGGCCCAAGGCAAGAAATTTTCCCACTTTTTCGAGAATTGATTCACGTAGCACCGTAAGTATTGCTCGAGCGTGCGGTTGGTCACCTCCGTTTGCCCGTTGGTCTGCGGGTGGTACGCCGAGCTCATCGACAGCTTGGTGCCTTTTGGTTTGAAAAATTTTGACCAAAAGCTGCTCATGAAAATCTGGTCACGATCATAGACGATGGAGCGCGGCACTCCGTGTAGTCTCATTATGTACTCGATAAATAGTTTGGCGATGGACTTCACCGTGTATGGATGCGTGAGTTGCATGAAGTGCGCGTATTTTGTAAGCCTATCCACCACGACCATGACTCTGTTGAACCCATTTGAAAGTGGTAGCCCCTCGATGAAGTCTATGGTGATATACCAGATCCTCTCGGGCACCGGCAAAGGTTACAGCAGCCCGCCCGGTCGCTGTGCATCAGTCTTGGTCTGCTGGCACTCGTCGCAACGCGCGACGTAGTCTCGGACCGCGCCCTGTTGTCCCAGCCAAAAGAAGGTGTTGGCTATTCTCATCCAAGTCCGATAGAATCCTGAGTGCCCGCCAACCTTTGAGTCGTGGAAGTGTTGCATGATCCTCTCGCGGAGTTGTCCGCTGCTGGACACGAACACTCGGCCTCGATAGAGCAGTAGCCCGTTGTTCTGCTCGTAGTCAGCGGAGGCGGTATCGCCTGCGTGGACTCCTCGACGCAGGTCGTGGCACTGTGTATCGTTCTCTTGCACTTTCCTTAGATCGTCCCAGATGTCCTATGTTGGCCAGGATGTGGTTCCAAGCTCGGCCACGTCTGTCCGTCGAGACAGTTCATCAACCACGGCATTCTATAGGCCCGGTCGGTACACGATTTTGAAATCGAAGCCCATGAGCTTTGGGACGAACTTCTGTTGCTCGGGTGTCATGATCTTTTGCTCAAGAAAATGCTTAAACAGCTGCTGGTCGGTCACGATCCGGAAGCGTCACCCCAAAAGGTAGGGCCTCTAGCATCGTACAGCTTCTACGACCGCGGCATCTCCTTCACGTACACGGACAGCCCGAGTCGAGTAGTGCCGAGTGCTTTGCTGAGAAAGGCCAATGGTCGTCCATCTTGCACCAGCACCGCCCTGATTCCCACGTCGCTCGCGTCGGTGTGTATCTCAAACATGAGATCGAACTTAGGCATTGCGAGCACGGGAGTGGTCGTCATGGCTTACTTCAATTTCTCGAACGCGGTCTCACTAGCCTTTGTCCACTTGAACCCGCCTTTCTTTGTCATCTCTGTGAGCGGCTTACCAATTGTCCCATAGTCCTTCACAAACTTCCGATAGTAGCCCGTAAGGCCTACAAAGCCTCAGAGCTGTGTTAGGCACGTCGGCTTCGGCCAATCCACCATGGCCTCAATTTTCCTCGGGTCAACCTTCACACCCTTATGCGAAATAAAATGGCCGAGGTACTCAACCATCTCCTGTCTGAACGAGCATTTAGATGGTTTAAT